GGAGTAAGCTGACATTAGGAGTGTCACATGAAATAGGTACCGCGATATTTTACATAAGTTGTGCTGTTCACGTATATAGGTGACGGTTAGCAATTACTATTAGGTGGAACGTCAGCTTCTTTGGTATTCCAGTAACATAAAAAAATCTGTCTGGACCGCTACTTGGGTACAGCGGCCTTTCCTTTTTTCCACTGGGAATTAAAAAAATACATCAGATAACGTAGTTACACGTATGTGGATACTTATAAAGTCTTCACTGTACGATATCTACCAGGAAAAGGTTTACCCGGTGTAAGGGACATACCCTTACGACCCTCATGGGCATCGTCTGAGATGTGTAGCCACCTGTTTTTTTTTATTTCGCATTTGTTTTTATTGTCATTGCTTCAGAAGGTATTTGGGTTTTTATCAAGGAATATTTGCATGTTTTCTTGATCATAGAAGAGTACAAAGTGAGTCGTACAAATTTAACTTCAAAGAGGTATTTTAATTCAAGTATATAAATAAATAATACTATGTTAATATTTATGTATCATCAATGTATTTGAAAACGAATCTATTTCGAACATACTTTCGATGTATCAATAAAAGTAAAAATACGCAATAATTTATATATACTAAATAAAAAAACTTTCTGCTTAAACAAGTGCTCAATTGAAAAGAAATATTAGCTAAAAAAATTTACTACTAAAAAGGTCTTAAAGCTTCAATTAACTAGAAATAAAATGTACAAAAAATACTCGTGAGTAAACAATATTATATACATTATATTACAACTTTAAGCAAATAAATAGCACATACCGTAGAATCCATATCAATGAAAATTATATAAGAATTTATTCTATATACCTTCTAATTTTTTATTTGAAATTAAAATAAAAAGATATGAATTGGAGATATTCAAGCTATAGATAGTAACGATAAACTAACGGCAGAAAGTAATTACACGATCAAACTTGATGGGTCCTCGTTGAAATGTAACGTTATCTGGGTGCCTTGCCATAAATCGTAGATACTTCAGTTTGCAAAGAGCGTCTCTGAATATTATTGAAGTCAATTAAACAAAGCTCTATAGGGTTCATCCAACGCTACATCACGTCTCATAAAATAATGTAGATAATACGATGCTGTACGAAAATACAAGCGCAATGAGAAATTCATTAGTCTGAGTCGTATCTAGAGAGACATAAAATGTACAATTGTTTACTCGTTATATCTACATAAATATTCCTATATATTTATTTTCTGTATACTTATATAATTTTTCGAACGTAATCCTTACAGTATACCTAAAAAAACATAAAAACGAAACAATAAATAAAGTAGTAACAGCAATAAATATTTTAATAAAATTTAATAGAAGGAGTAGTGGTATTCGATAATATTAAATAGGTTGAATAGTTTTCTGTTAAGCGTATAGTATCTACACGGGTACATAACAAAGTAGTATTATACAAGAAAATAATAACATCACACAGAAATGTCGCCGACCCAGAGAAATATCTAAAATAACAACAACCTTTATCGTGCACAATTTTCGCACGTATGGAACATTCCGTCAGAACGGGCGCCACATACCTACAATCTATAAGTAAGTATAACAATTGTGAGTGTAATATTATCACACATTGTCTCTAAATGTACGTCGCACCAAAGACACGAGGTGTAGACCGTTTCACATATGGAGTGAGTTCAGTGTACTTATAGTGCCACTTGCGACCTTACTGACTCCACGATCGTATTTACAATGTTTTGCCAAAGAAAAATTGGGCTCTCATTTATAGTTACAGTGGCCATTACAGAGCAGACGTTTATGAAAAGTTATTATAATTATCGTCGCATTCGTAAAGCTTATGATATTTATTACATGTGAACGTTGTCAACGAAAACTAAGAAGGATGGCAGTAATTAATCAAACTTTATGAAAATTGTCTCCTTATTGTATGTACTAAATAAAGACTTTAAAACTATCGCGTTTAGATACATAAGTAAATTTAATAAGTCATCTGACATTCGTGTTAATATGTACTAGACTTGGTCACAAACATACAATGATGGCTTAGTTATTGGCGTGGTGACCATAAATATACATATCTTAGTATTTGTTAATAATAAAACTTAAAAGGATGGCTATCGTTAATTTGAAATATCAACACATAACACTACACTTTTCGATTTTTTATAGCATACAAACTACAATATGATTTAAACTTCTATACTTTCTACCTGTTGATACAAAACGAAATCAATTACTTCTCATAGCTCGAATGTAAACACAATAGCTCACTATTTTATTTCTAAAATACACAAAATTAAATATTATTATAAACACTATTTAAATGTATACAATAATTAAAATAATATATAAATAAATATAATTTTAAAATTAGATGTTTAAAATTTAAAATCATTCATACTTCAATTTTTTTAATGTTACTAATATATTTTATAATTTATAGTTATAATATTGTATACACAATAATGGGTATATTTCCTCTCTCATTTAGAACTAAGATCGGTATCGGTAAGATAAAAGTTGTTAGAGAAACAATAAATAGCATCTCAAAAAACGAATTCTAAAAACTGTATTAGTCGTCGCTTTACGTAAAATAGGCTTCGTCATTAGTACCCCGACCAGATACCTACCTACATCCAGTGCGGGATCAAATCTAGCAACATACAAAAAAATAAGAATTAATTTTTGACTGTGTCTCCGGCCAAAAAAACATTGCCTGTTCTACATTAATATAAAGTTTTAACTGTTCACAATCTTTGTTTTAAAGTGAATCAATAAAAAGTTACATAAAATATGCGACTATTATCCAATTAAAATCATAATTCCTACTATTGATAGTTATTGTTGTACCGCGACGTACCAAGTGAAAAGTTGCATTGTAGCAATCAAACCCGTAAAACGTGCAAACCATAAAGCAGACGGGAATGGTTTATGGCACGCAAGAAGGATACCAGCCTTTTCACGAAGCGCCGCCATTACACTTGATTGCACATTATATTTCATCGTCGTTTCAGTTCCCACGTTCAGATTACGAAAATTGTCGAATAATATTGATACGAATATATAAGTATATAGTTTACACTCGCAGTTAGCTATGGTGTACCTGTAAAATGCCTAATTATCATTTGTATTCTCAAATAAGAAATATTCAACCTCTACATGTAAACTTATTACCTTTATTCGTATTTTTTGTTACAATTCTAATGAATTAATTAGTTTTTAAATTTCTAAAATCTTTATAGAGTTTTAGAATAGATCGTGACTGCATTTTAAATTCTATCAAATAATAATTATAATAAAGCCTATTTTGTGTTTGGCTTAGATATATTTTATCATAAAATCGTGTAATCAAACTTTCTGGTAAAACGGTAAACATGAGGTATAAAAAAAAATTAAACTCGTTCATGTTTAAAAGTAAAAAGCAAATTTTGTATTTATAAAATAATTTTGATATTACATTACTTATTTTATATCTGTAATATATGTATTTTATAATATATGTGTATGTTTTGTTTTTTTATATTTTATTTATATTAATATATTTGACACATAATATTACTATTTAGGTACGTCTAATATGGTTATAATATTTTCTTTTATTCCTTTCATGTTAAGCAACAAGACCATATTCATTATATTTCATTTTATGAAATCTTTATGAAGAGTAATACATTTTTTAATCAATAAATGATACAAATCTGACTAATGGTTAATGAAACAAAAGCATGCACATAATGAAATGTATCTTACAAGAAGGTGAATTAGAACACCAAGCTCCGCTTAACCAAGAAATCCCTGAATTATATCGTCACGCCTATAATCAAATGTAATAAGGATTATTTATTACAAACAGTAAAATTTTATACAAGTAAAAACAACAAGTAGGAATGTAAAACGTGCTTCCATGAAACTTGAATTTACCGAAGCGTACTAGAATGATACCTATACCAAAACAAACTCATGTTGTTGAGCAACTAAATAAACAATAGCGTTGTATCACTTAGTGGAGAGAGTTGAAAGTCAAATGAAGGTGTACATTGTGTGCGGTAAAACGACACGTGTTTTCTTTGATAGCGAGAACAGACGCGGGCCGAGGCAATTTCTGCAAAACGTGACAAAGCTCATAAAAAAAGGACAACATTTTGTCTCATGACAAGAAGCGTGTAATCCACAGGACTAAAATAGTGCGCACCCACAGATGACAATTCTATATTTAACTTTTTTGGTTTTAAAATATACCTATTATTTATAGGAAGATTCCGTTTATTTTATCTTTATATACGGTACGAACAAATCCTATAATAAAATAAGTAATGATAAACAAATTCTTTATTTTTCACTATACTTTAGACATTAGGCAAATTTTGGTATATAGGTGCTTTATTTATTTTTATAAAATCATTTTGTTTATATAATAAAACTACTGTCCCGGTAAACGTTGTTTTGCCAAATATATTAATAACACGGTAAAAAAATAGGGGTTGATGATAGAAGGGTGAAAATTTAGGCTTTTATGTATCTTTTAATGACACATAATTAAAAAATATAAGTAAAAATTTTGCCCAACAAATGAAAAAGTAATGTTAGGGTTGGACAACCCTTATCACTTAGGGGTATGAAAAATAGATTCTCAGACCTACTGAAAATGCATATAAAATTTCATAAAAATCGGTCAAGCCGTTTCAGAGGAGTATGGTAACTAACATTGTGACTCGAGAATTTTATATATAAGAAGATATAATAAATATATCAATAGGTAATATATACTAAATATTAAAATGCAGTTTCAGCCTGGTATTTAATATGAGTACCTAATTAAATTCGATCCAGTTCTGTTCTTATATAACGTATCTCAAACAACTATAGGTAGTCGTCCTCAAAATCTATATTATAGCACACAAGTATTAATAGTGTAAGTTGCTTATTTATATCATGTGTGTCAGATCCTTCGAAACTTAACAGAAACTTATAATTTTGTTCACAGTTCGTGGTCACACAGAGGTGCGAGTGGAACTCCAGATGGAGCGATGGGCAGCTCGCGGTGGCTCCGTGCGGCTCCGCTGTGTCCACGACGTACCGCCGCATCTACTCGACAAAGTGGTTTTCCTCCGCCACGGCACCAAGATCTTCCAATACATTAGAGACAGAAAGCCGCCTTATAGAAATTTCACGACACCAGGAGCTGTACTCAATGTGAGTTCAATAAAGATTTTACCATTTTTAATTCAAATATATCATCTCATTGTATCTATAAAGATATAATACTTTTCTACAATTAGAAATGTAATGGTCAATGTAAATATTTGCTCAGAATACACAAGAAATGTAATTTTTTTCAAATTTTGTATTTAATTGTACTTTAACCCAAATAATGGAAATTGCCCATCTGTTTATCAAGCAAGCTTGCAATTACAAGATTGAGATATAGCAATGCAAATACAAGTATCCCTAGTAACTTAGTTGTCGAGAATAAATTTTGATGATGAATAGGTACAACGAAGTCACTATGAAGTTATATTGATAGCTCTTTCAGACTTTTATAATACGGATCTAAGTTGCAACTTTAAAGCGTTCAGAAACTGCGTGGAAATTATTTTTAATGTAGTTGACATAACATGATAATAAATTCGTTTTACACCTAATAAGAATCTGGTGATTACGTATATGCCTGCGAGATAGGCTCAACATTAAGTATCAAAATAGTAATAATAAATTTAAAAAAAAAATTCTCTGGTCTGAAAGGAATATCTATGGTACCGATACAACTCCCTATTAGGTTGGCCGTTAGCTTCATTTCTATTCCAGTTACATAAATATAAAAAGTAAAATATATTTTTACGAATCTAAGATAAAAACAGAATGTATTAACGTCCCATCCTGAATAAGCCGTCGACTAGTTTTATTCATCCTCTAAATGCGTTAGAATGTATGTACATAGCCTTAAAAGCTAAACTTGGATGCCGGGCAGGTAATCGTCCGGGTGGAGTTAATTTTCCGGGTCAGCGTTATGTATAGGGTTACCACACAATTCAAGTTCAGTTAACTGGGATTTGGTTCACTCGTATTTCTAATACCAATTGTTCTAACCACTAACTTTTGTTTGATCACTTTTATAACAACAAACTTTGTGCATTTACTACCCTTGTAACCCTTGTACAGATAATATTTGTATAATGTTTAAGTAAAACCGTGTATGTACATGAATTTCAAAAGCATTTATATAATTAATATACGTTGTTGTATACGGCATTGTGTGAAGTTAAGATATTAAGTTAGGTTATGTAATAATGAACTTACAATTATTTTATCGTAGTTATGACTATAGAAAATTACATTATGACCGATATTCTTGCTAAATACGTGTAGACACGCACGTACTATCTACTTATTATTTTACGTAACAAAACTGGGCAACTTTTCCGTTTATAAATACATTCCCTTCCCTTCATGAAATATTTTATACTACCCCTAGTTTTTTTATCTAAGACTTCTTCGTGGCTGGTTTATGTTCATTGATTCGATATTGTATAGTACATGTAGCATATCCTTCCTCAATTCCTTCCTGTTGGCTGTATTTCAATAACTTAGAAAAATGTTATATTGATATAAATGTAAATTCTTTATAATAGATATGTAAATAATGCTAATAAAAAAGTCGGAACATAAAACATAAATATTATATAAAAATCATTAAATTATAAGTCAGTTATTAAATAAGTCAATACAAATTATACATTACTTGAAGACGTGCCTTTTTAATAATAAATTTCGTAATTCATAGCCCTTGTCAAAATTTTAACCCGCTATGGCATTTCTGCAAGGTACATAAGTTTTCTGTTGAAGGAAAATATGTTAATATTTTCAAACTTAATAAAAACTGATAAAATGGTACGTAACCAGTGAAATAGAAAATCCGTGGAAAGTTATGGAGCAAACGCCAATATTACAAATAACATGTGCCTCTAATACACTTAGGGATTTTCATATGAATAGGTACGTCATATTTGATGTAAGAAGAAGTTGTTGGTGTAAGACTATTTAAAATTTTGTCGACATGCGTTTTTGCGTAGACCTTGGTGATCAATCAAAGCATAATTGTTATCAACATATAATAGCTATCAAGATCAATCGATTTAAGTAAAATGTTACTAAAGTCAGTATTTAAAAACTAGCCCATTTTAATTGATCATTAAAATAAGTATATATAAACTATCGGCCCGACTTCGCACGTTAAAAATGAAATGACGGCTAAGTACCAACCTATAGGAATAAACCTGTTACTCCATTATTATTTAATTAATTCGTTTTAAAACTTCACTTTATATGAATCATAATATCATATTCTTAAGCTATAAACTCGCCGAATTTGATTCACATAGCACATTTTTATTGCTAGTCTCTTAATTAGTCACAATGCCATAATAATTCATATACAGTTCATTTATAAGTCTATCACCTGATTTATAGATATCAATAGCAGTATAGAAACTATGTACTAGACATTGTTAATGCGCTGTAGTGTGACATCCATCCCCGATATACAGATATCAAAGCGACATAATAATCATGATATATGAGTATTTAGTAACTGGTTTGTTCTCTATTGCCAGAGCACTATTAAACTCCGTGTAATACAGTACGTAGTACGAAGTACAAATCGATCTAGTAAAAGAAAAATTTAAGCTTGGTGTCTAAGAGACATGTGTTAATCAACTATTGTCATATAATCACACAGGATAATATAGGTTTTTGAACCATGATTCACAAATGTGTATTAAATATGTCTAATATTTAGGCATAACAACTACTAAAATAGAATATCTTTCACACAGAGAACAAACCAAAAAATTGTTATGTTAATAATAATAAAAAAAAAATTACAAGTTACCTATCTATGAAGTCGTATAATCTACATAAATCCCTATAGGTCTACGGTTCGAACCTTTACTATTATATACTATTATATAGTCTGTTTTAGAATGCACTGTCTCTCAAAATGTATGGCCAATACTAATTGTAAATACCATTTTACCTCGGGGAAATTAGGATAAAAAATATTCGTTGGCTAGAAGCTTTCGAATTTACAAATTAAGTAGTATAGTTTATGGATTGGTAGCCACGCCAAATTCTTATTTTAAATGCTTTTGGAGTGGCAGGCATGCAATGCAAGTGCATCTATAACTGAAAGTGGTAGGTAATGCAAAAGCGCACTACACTTAAATTAATTCGGCATGCCTACAATCCGTTGCATGCACATAGCTCGTTTACCCGATGAAGGGCGTAACAGGTCAACCTCAGTTCCAGGTCAATCTGATGAATAACTAGTAACTGATGAAAGTGTAGGCGCGAGCTTAACTACCTCGTAAAACAAATTGTTAGTGAGGGTGACGTAATAATACAAATAATTTTATTTTGATGGATTCGTATCTTCATGTCAGTCTAATTCTATAAGATTTGCATATTGTAATTACTGTCAGAATAAACTTATCGTTGTGAGTTTCCACTTAAAAAAATAATTGAGTTGTAGTTAAATTTTGGTTTTTGCAGTAAAGTGGACAAAACTATGGCTAACATATTAATAATTAAGGTATTTTCTTTTTTAAGTGATTATAATAAGGTTTTGCTATACAGAAACTTCTTAAAATCCTGTATTATCCAAATGTAACTGTATTGTCTAAAATGTGTTGGTATTTAAAAATAATTAAAATTAAAATTCAGTTACGTCAATAAACAACCTTTAATTTATGATTACCTTAACTAATCATAGACATTTTCATCCAAGTCATACTTTTTTTCAATACCTTTTATCTACTGCAGAAACATGAATATGCAAACATTAATAAAAAGTATTCGATATTTAAGATAATTATAGTTTTATCTCATTTCTTCAAGTTTTATTTAGTGTAAATGTAATTCTTAGAAATAAATTTAAAATATAAATCTATAAATATTTTTTGTTCAGTTAAACAACGTGAAAAGTCTCTACTCTCTCCATGTATTATAGTAATCTGTTAAACTATACTGCCCAGGCTAGTCCTATGTCGTAAGTCCGGCACTGCATTTAGATTTTTCTAATTGCTTAAGTTTAACCAATTTTAACTAATAAGACATTAACATTGAAACGTATTTCTTTTCAGATAGCGTTAGCAACTGAAAACTCAATAATCTTACAAAATTTGGACTTTGCGGCGAGCGGAAGCTACTCATGTGAAGTATCTCTGGACACACCAATTTACACCAAGGCTTCGACCGAGAAGCAGCTCACTGTATTTCGTAAGTTATTTAAAAGTTGTTTATTGATTCTATATCCATACTACAGGCATCGTAAATTGTACGGAATAACTTTAACCGACGCAATACACCAGGGATCAGTAGGAACATGTACGTAAAACAACTTGAATTATATCATACGTTACCAAGTCTGAAATGAAACTTGATACTAACTACGCAGATAAAAAATATCTGTAAATGGTATAACTAATAATTATACATATTACAACAGCTTTTGTTATTGAAATTTGTATCAAGTAAGGAAATTAATACCGATCTTGACGTAAAGCTATTATTATTACAAATAGGTATATATTATAATTACTGTACTTCAATTAAAATAGACAGTGACATTTGACATTCTACAAATATAGAATACAAAAAATGTACAGTAAAAGAAAAAAAATCGTGTTACATGACTTTAGGTATGTTTTTTATACATTATTATTTGCAGGTAATTTATATATATATATATAAAATTTTGCAAGTATTTATGTACTTATGTAAAGGGCAACAATAACAAAACTACCTAATATGTTCTACCAATAAAATAATAGAATGATATCGCATGCATTTTCTGTAATTATGCAAGTTTTATATCAAAATAAGTTTGTGCTACATATGCCGCTAATTATACCTTCCCATGTAATATCAACATTAACTCAAAATTTACTTTGTCCTGACTAAAGCCCTTGGAATATAAGTTATGCTAGTAGTCGTAATCGCGAATACATTAATTTCCTAAAGGTACAAGGATAACAGTGGTAGATTAAAATAGTCCTCCGCGAGAGTACCTCAGCCTTTCCTAATTTTAGCCGCCAAGCAGCTTACTTTGTCACATGTGTTTCTATTGTAGAGTGTATATGAGGCAGTACAATTATAAGAGGCATGACTTCTTAGTGCTCTGAAATGGCAACACCTGTGTGATATCGCGGGTGTTAAATGATAACGTGATGTCCGTAGTCTAGTTTTTTAGTAGATACCTTTTACCATTAGATGCGCCTTCAGCTTGTTTGCCATTCTAATTACATAAAAAAACAGTAGGGGTTGGATCTTAAAAAAAACTAGCTGTTATCTTTGAATTCATCTGATTTTTACGTTAAAAGACAGGTGCTCTAAATTTCAAGAAGATTCTATTAGTGGTCCAATCGTGAAAAGTAACAAACATAAGCGATGGCAATTTAATTGTGTCTAAATACTTTATTTGTCTTCAAACGACAGACTGTAACCTATATGCGCTTTATGTTCCTAACTTACTGCAAATCCTAATAGATACAACAGATGCCACTTGTTATGCCAATTGCTATCTGTAAATTCTTTAAACCTCATTCCTTTGCTTTAAAATAAACTTCGAAACAGAATGTAAAAGTGGACAGTTTTCCTGCAGCAAAGCTTACGGTAAATGCATTCTTATGTTAAGCAGATAGAATTTCATTTAGCGACTTGCACTAGTATTTTGTATTGCAAGACAGTGTGTATCGTAAGCTAGACTGGTTCAGGGCATCAGAAATTTAAAGTTGCGAATCGTTGTGTAATAAAAATGCTGAAACCTAAAGTACAATAATAAAATACTGTTATATCAGAAATACACTGTTTCCACTAGATTCCTTTAGCTTATTTTTTATTCTATCATATTTACAATAGATATCATTATCACTTACTTTTATTTGGTACAAACAGAAAAATACGAATAATGTCTGTATTCATTTATTTACTCGTATTTATATGTGTAGGTACTGAGTATTTTTTTAAGTTAAATTATTTGAAGGTAGAAATAGCCTAATATATGTTCATTTTATTCGCCCATCTATTTGACTAACTAAATATAACAGATTAACATATCAAAGCCACAGTAGATATGCCAACTTGATGGACAGCTCATACTACTGGAATTGTAAAGTTTTGTCTAAAGGTTCAATAAGTTAAGCAGGCATCAGACATGTGAATAACAATATTGGATATTTAAAGTCAGAAGTCTCGAGAGAAATGGCATAAGGAAGCTACCTTATGTACACATACATATAAATATGTGAAATTTCTAAATAAAAATTAGAAAGCTTTATTATTTTTTATGAGTTGAATAATAACGTAAAAAATATACAAATGTTTCTACCTTATGTCTTACTTACCTTATTTGCTATTATTTTAAAGTATGTACCTAAGTAAAGTAATGATACGTTCATAAGAAAATGTTACATAACTGGGATAGGTACATCCGATCCGATACGCATCCTGGATTTATGTGCGGACCCAATACGTTTTCTATTATTGGATTTTCGACCGTCACAATAAATAACAATTTATATTATTGTCGGATTTGCTCATGTTTCTTCCCCTTTTAATATGTCACATATAGAAATTCTTTCGGGCCAATTTAACACAACTTTCAAAAGCAATATATATAAGTGCATAATGTACAATTGTACGCGTAAATAGAAAAAAGATTAAATATTCTGTGTATATCATATTTAAAAAATATATTTTCGTATACACATAACTACAAGTGTCGTTCAAAATAGCGTCATTAACTATCTATTTAATGCGCGATGAAGAAAAGCCGTGACACGCATTGCAAATAAGCAGCAGCCTCCATTAGTATCGACCGCACAGTAACATCGCAAAATCCAACTCTATGTTCTCTGAGATAAGACATTTAAGTATGTTCCACAAACGTTCACGAAATCATTTCTGAAAGATACGAATGGTTGAATGGAATAAAGCTATTTCAAATCAGTAATGGCACCTCCATTATTAGGTTTTGAACGTTTTCGTTGAATAGTGCAAATTTAGCTAGCTCTGACTTGAATAAATAGCCAATGTGGGTGTAGAGCCAAAACTACTGGGTGAAGGTAGAATTCTAAAACATCTAACTACACACTGTCAACCAGTTTACAATACGGTGTGGGCATAGGTACTTAGATACAAAAAGAAACCTACGAGTCAGAAGCGGATCCTTTTATGAGATTTAAATCTAACAAACCTAAGATATAGATATCCTTCCACATACCCGTGACCCTCTGAATAACTGCTACATCATTTGATATCATCAATCGAGAAATTCGAGTTCGTTATGGGTATATGCAATCAAAATACTATTTTATATAGATATCTAAATTGCATGTACAAGCAAAAATAATGAAGTACATAGCCAAATCTTCTAAAATAGAATATTTCCTAAACAATAGTCGTGTAAAATGGTTCTCTTTTACGTAAGTAATGTTGGGAGGTTTATTTCTACTCTCGGATCATTTATCAAGCCGCCGGTCGTGCAACAAATATTGTGGTCCCGTTTTTATTGAGAAGTATTCGTTCTCACTGTGAATTTTATACGAACCACAAACACAACGACTTTGCTGCTCAAAGATAATTCTATCAATGCAAATAGGTAGATGTGTGTACTACTACTAAACTTACTTCATATTTATTTCTGTTCATTCATTGCCCTCTTGACACATGTGTTATTTCAGTACCCAATCAATAACTGACTAATTATGTCTATTCTTCAAATTTGATAGGCATTTGTTATGTTAACCTTAGTGAACCAACCGCTATTTCAATTAGAGTTTCCAACTTTTATTGCTAAGAGATATCTTTTACAAAATTATTTGTATTTCGATTCTACCGTATAAAATTTCTTTGATCACAAACATGTAATCTATTGGAAATAAGTCAATTCTGGTAATTAACTTATTTCTAATAATAAAGTATCAAGAAAATTTTGTAATATTATCCATCACAAAATTAATAACAATTGAATATCAGAATAGGACAACTTAAAATGTACTTTCTATGAGTTATTTTCTTCTACATTGGATCTTTTAAATTCGGGTTTCGGAAAACAAATACTCGAGATAGTTCTGATTATAGGAACAAACAAAATATACTTGCATGTTCGCTAGACACATTTACACGCTGATGGTAATATTTTCCTTTTCTTCTTTAGGAAAAAACGTTGGCTACTTTAAATTAATGTAATAAATAGTAGAAACAATCATATATTCCTCCATGGTGGGTAAATTAACACTCAAATGGAATTCAGCATAAATCAAACTAAATCATATACACACTGCGTACTAAAAACTGTAGTCACGCAATTACCTATTTATATAAAGACTAGTTATTTACCGCTAGTTTATCTTTGTGTAATTTAAATATCCAATATTTAACACATATCTTGAGCATACGACTGCTATAATTATTAGGTTTCTGAACAAAAAAAATAGCAAGTCTACGATACTATTTTCATAATATCTATCAAGACACTAAATTTCTTCCACTACTATTTCTGTTCAAATATCAGCATTTGTCAGTATAATTTTATAAGTACAAAATAAATTGTATCAAAATGTACAGTAACATATATGTACTTTAAATTTAATTTAAAGACATTAACGGACATTATTATAAAATTTGAAATTTTTCATATTTATTTAGCTGCTTGTTTATTGAAACTGTGACCTCTACGTCGCCAGTAAAATGATAAATCACTCACTATGACATCTCTGGTGATGTGGCAACAACGGGCGGGCGGCGTTGGTTTAAAAATAAAACACCTTAGAAAATAATGCGGTGAATTATCAGCCATTTCAGATAAGGTTGAGTAAACAAAATAATCATAGTCTGCAATTTGTGAATTAAATTTATATATAATAATATTATAAATAAGGGTGTGTTTCTTTTCAGGAATAAACTGCCAAACGTATTTTAATGAAATTTGGTGTGATTTGTTGAGATTGATAATACATTATCAGTATCATTTAACACAAAGTCACGGAAATATAGACGAACTCGGCGATTGCCTTTGTATTAATACGTAATACGTATACAGAATATGATTTCAATAAAAAATAAATGGTAAATAATAATAATAAAAAAAAACTATTTGATTATGTAAAAAGTAAATCAATTAATGTTATATAGGTACCTACATAGCCTTAGTTATAACAAATAGACAGGCCTTCAAATATTATATATACATATATGAGATAATATGCGAACGGCATGTAATTTTATCGCTCCTTATCTTCGCTTCCTACTTTAAAATTTTAGACAATATTAACCTTCACACCTCTACAGTTTTGTACAGCCGCCTAAAATTTCCTTAAGAAATATTGACACAACTCATTATACAAAACGCTCCCCTTAATCTTGTATTTCATAATTTTTATGGACATTAAATAAAGTCTATTTATTATGAATAATATTTAAGCACTCGCGCCATAATTTAAAGTATCTTTAATCTTACAAAGCTTATTCATTAATTTGAAACTACCTCTTCTCGCTCATCTTCAGCTGTTTTATATTTATTATTACGAACACACATATTACAATATATCTACGCGTCAAATTTCGTCAGTATCCGTTCTGTAGTTCAGTTAGCTGTGAACAGATAAAAATAGTCAGACACACATACTTTTATATTTATAATATTACGTGGTATGCAAAATATGAAGTATTTTGCTGTTTTATATACACAATAACTCCCAATTATGACAGAATGAAAATATAGGTACAACTTAATCTGAAAACACCTTTTCATCCCCAAAATATTAACTTGTAATAGCCTACTAAGGGAATAAAGCACACCACTCTTATATGTATCTATCAGTATGGAACGGTGCACCGTGCACCCGACTGTGTTAACAGTGTTCGCTGATGGGGCACCATTCGAGAATTATAAGATGTACATGAGGTCAGAGCAATTAGCCCCATGACAAATCACATATAGACCTAGACGGTTTCCAGGGGGACCACCTGTCATAGTAAATTGCTAGCAATGGTATCACTTGTCGCCATTACTAACAATCCCAATCCCCAACAGAGTAATAGTACTATTATTCTTACTATCAATTCTCCATTGGAACATATATACTAAACTTGCGATTTTCTAATTGATGCGTTTCAACGAGAAATAATCTTTATTAAAAAAACTCAATGCAAGCACTTTTTAATAATGATATTTTTTTATTCTACCACTCATTTGCAGACTTATCACTAGAAGAATGAACAAGAAACTTGTGTGTTGCTCTTTTGAAATTTTAACTGTGTCAAATTCTAACTATAAGTAACAGCCTGTCCCTATGCCGTACAATGGAACGCGAATGGGTTAGTAAATATTGGACATACAAATCGTGTTATTACAGATCCGAAAATATTATTACACAATATAAAATAAAATCGCTCTCGCTGTCTGCCCCTATGTATGCTTCAATCTTTAAAACTACGCAACGGATTTTGAAGCGGTTTTATTTTAATAGATAGAGTGATTCAAGAGGAAGGTTTATATATATAATACAAGTACATTCGTGCGAAGCCGGGCCGAGTAGCCAGTTTCAATTATAAAAGCTATAAATATTCAATGACTAAAAATTAAAAAAGATATTAAAAAGACTGTACTGTAGCCACTTTAATTATGCTTCACTCAATGTTTAGTTCCGAGCAAACATATCTATTTTAGACATTCAATACGATTCTGATTGTCAGATCGCATAAATCAGCTATCAAAATCGGGGGAAGCACTTTTCGATTTGATTTACTAGATGTAGGTATAGCTATTGTAGGAATAATTCTAATCATTACGATACCTATAGTGAAATTATACGTATTAAATATGATAAACCAAACCTAATATTATATTTAATTATTATTATATATTATTAATTACCTATATAGATGGTAATTTTGGATAGCAATTTACAATCCAGAATCAGATTACAAATCCAGCATATTAGTTCTAATACCTAGGATTATTTCGATGGTTTTAAATTAATGCTTACATATTTATTTATGACAAGACAAAGGAATAATTTTATTCAAAAATATAAATAATATTTTTGGAATAAATGTAGCCGCAAAATCTATTTAAAAAGTTATACTAATAAAAGAATCAGAATTACATACTAATAAACAACATTTCATTGCAAGATATCACAGATTCGTCATGTGCAACCTAAATTTATCAGTGAAGAATAGTAATTGTAGGTAATTTGTCCAACATAATTAATAATACGGTTGACACAACAGAAGTCGAGTTACAACGAGAGTTTCAAGGGTCCCCACCAACATTAACAACACTACTGGCCGATGTGGGTGGTATATTGGCACCCCCGCGGTAAATTGCCATTGTCAGTGCGGTGATCACGGAGACAATTTATATTTTATTTGTATTTCATATGTATGTTAATGAATTCTATATAGGTATTTATAATATGAGCAATGTAGCCTGAATTAAATAAATAAATAATAATGTCTCATCATGTAAGTGCTTGCATCATACCATAGCTATATTGTTTATATACAAATAATGTATTTTCCAATAGTAAATCATACCATACGTTGTTTATGTGACTTTCAGTATAGGATTTTCCAATAGTAAATTTTTTTAAATCCCCATTACAGAAATATTATCGTCTTTAAACGATAAGTAGATAAATAGTAAAACCCAGCAGCCGAAAGATAACTACGAAACAATGATCAATACAAGGATATTGGTAATCGGTACAAACTTAATTTATTAATCTGTATGATTAAGCGCCTATTACAAACTGTTAATCACACACAGATCATAAATTTTATAATTAATATAGCGATAAGTAGTCTATGTTTATGTAGCGTTTATTAATAGATTTTTATCAAAACAGTTTTTTCTTCATAATAACATTTTCAATTCTCTATTTGCTCAAAAAAGGTTATAGAATAAATTTCTATAAGTAGTATTTCTAGTAAAATATATATCTGTTCATAAGTGTATGACATAAATTAAGTACCTAAGCTAATTGTTATACTCCTAGCATATTAAAGGTCAGTACAGAAATAAGATAACAGAAAATAAAGTATTCAAACATTTAAGGCTACATTGAATTATGAATAGAATAGAAGTAGAATAAATAGAAACAGAATAATATGATTTAAAAGTATGGGCCATTAAATAGAAATGTTCTTAATTAATTACCTAATAAACATGTTAAAATAACAATGCTGTCAGTTAGTTCACATGTGAATGGAACTTAAAGGACCAGTTATTACAGAATAATTGCGTTCACTACATATTCTATATATCGTTAAGATGCGATATTCCTTTACATTATTGGATAGAATCACGAAATGTATATATAGATAAGGAGTTCTTTTTATTATTTGCCAATAGAACCCTAATAAATTAATATTTACATTTCTTATTATTAAGCTTCGATAGCGGCCTCCATCAGTATTCATATTTTTAACCCTAAATTTATTAATAGCCTATATTACTAATAGTTCTTTTTGATATCGTTATATCAAAAATAGGTATTAATGTCTAATTCGACTTTGTATCCACGGTGATTTTCCTGGGTAATAAAAATTGTATCGGCTTACTTGCAAAACGGCTTCGTCGTGTTTGGTCAAAAGATAAGATTCAACAATCCTTTATAAACAACAGAGGCTCTGACCTCTTTACAGTTAAAGTAAAATGCGCGCGTTTGTTGTATTGTTTCTCTTTTGTGCCAGCCTCGCGTGGGCTTACATTGATCCCAGTGAGGACTTCATCGGATGGCATGAGAAGGTGGGAGTTAAGAATGCCCAACAAATTAGGAAACGCGAAGATCGAATCGTCGGCGGTAACATAGCCCCCGTAAACAGCCATCCTTATCTGGCCGGCCTGCTGATAGACATTATTGGCTTTACGCAACCTTCGGCGTGTGGAGGATCTCTCGTATCGTCTACCAGAGTTCTAACAGCTGCGCACTGCTGGTCCGATGGAAGATTCCAGGCACACAGAATTACAGTAGTCCTGGGTACACCTTATCTGTTCCATGGTGGAGTCAGAGTTCTTCCACATGCGATAGCAATACACGCACACTATGACCCTAGAACCTTTGCTAATGACATTGCTATGCTGTATTTACCAAATCCAGTAGAATTAAATCATGCTATCCGACCGATATCTTTACCATATGGTCCATTGCTATCTATGGACTACACTGGAGTGTGGGCAAGAGCTGCTGGCTATGGAAGATATTCAGATGTGACCACACCAGCGAATACAGTTGCAAGAAACGTGTTTCTTCAAGTAATATCAGTGCAACAGTGTCGAAATGCATTCGGTGATTTTGCTAGGGCATCTAATGTTTGCACAAATGGGTATGGCGGTGTCGGTATATGTCAAGGAGACTCTGGTGGGCCTTTAACAGTGACTACTACAGCTGGAGAAGATATTTTAATAGGCGTCAGTTCATTCGTAGCCAGCTACGGGTGTCAACTAGGACATCCTTCTGCTTTTGCTAGAGTCACGTCCTTTATAAACTGGATACATGCACATATGTAATAGATTATAACAAATAATTGGATATGGTAAACACAATTACAGTGCAATATATTTTTATATTTAGGAATTACTATGCCTGCAAGTTGTTTCGTGACAATAAACACATAGTTGCGAATCTCAAAACAAGTTTTTTTTTTCTTACCGTACTCATACCTTATAGTGTGTTATACTTTAAACCTAATTATATTTTAAACGTAGGTAATTCCCATGTAGTTACATACTAATAATTTATTATACAAATATTTTGAGTCTGCAATTGTTACAATCAGTAAGTAATTTAAATTAATTTAATAGTTTTATTTAAATAGTGACAATTATTTTTATTTAATACTTAATGTTTTTTGATATATTTTTGTTTATTTGCTATTTATACACATACACGTAATTTATGAAATTATATAATCAAATTTTAATTAACCAAGTACCTGTACAAAACAGGCCCATGCAAGTGAATTAATTCATTTGCATCAATTTAGTTTACGTATAGTTAGACGATATACTATTAAAGTATACTTGGTACAAACTTACAAAGGATACCAAAATGATAATTGTAATATGTAGTTGCAGAATAAGAACTAAAAGTTACAGTGTGTGTGCCTAACACATTGTAACTTTTAGTTCTTATTCTTTCTGACCCAAAAGAAGAACATGAAAGAAAAAGTACTTTTCATGGCCATTTGTTAGCAAAGAAAAGCTAATCCCATATATAAAATTAGGTATAAATATATATAAACGTCGCCACTAATGACTGATTCCATATTCAAATTATATACCTACTTAGATATTAATATGTAGTTCAGGTGAAGTAAAAAATATGAAAAAGTCTAAATCTAAGTACAGAAACGAAGTCGTCAATACAAAGCGAACTGTTTTTATTATATACGATAAATAAGCCAAATGCCAAACACCCTGATTGTCCAAGGTCTCTCTCTTATAAACTCACTATCTTATAAAACGTGATGAATATAAAATCGACGTGTAAATTTTTCAGAACAGGAATTTATGTAATTATATATAGATCAGAAATCATAAGAAACAACATTAGCCGAGCGCTGCTAACAATAACACCAATCTCAAACATAGCTTAGAACTTTTGCAAGAAAGATAAATTGCTAGGCATGGGGCAACGTATAAATTTCAGCTTTTTTTCGATTACTGCTACAATGGATTTTATATAGGTACTCATTAATATGTGTAATTAATATAAATACAATAAACGAAAAAACTATTTCTTTACAATTGTTTAAGATTTTGTAGTTACGTAATACTAAAATAAATACTGTAAAATACAAATTTTTGAAGCTAGACTTGACCTAGATAATATTAAAACTTTATTTTTAAGTTATTGTATTATTTTATTAAGGGTGCGCAATATGTTCAATAGTATTCTATATATAATAACTAGCTACTCGCCCCGACTTCGCCCGGGTGTACATGTATTATACATATAAATCTTCCTCTTGAATCACTCTATCTATTAAAACCGCTTCAAAATCTGTTGCGTACTTGTAAAGATTTAAGGATATATAGGGACAGACAACGACAGCGATTTTGTTTAGTGTATCATATAGTACTATGTAATGATAATGATATTTATATAAGTCATATAATTATAATTTGATACATTCATATAGAAACAATTATTTACTTTTAAGCCATTAATTTTGTTCTGAAACTGCCAAATTCAATAATTAGGTAAAGCAAATATTCTATCGTAAAGCCACAATATTTCAGCCATAATTTGAGCAATCGGGGACAGGAAGTCTTGAAAATGGAAACGAAGGGAGATTGTTTCAGGAAACACGTTAATGGATGACAAAGAACTTATAAATTATTTATAGGCATTAGAAAATCCCTAGTGGTTATTAGTACTTTACAGGTAGAGTTAATAAGAGCATAAACAAGTAATATACTATTTTATTTATAATAATAAAAAATGAATAATTACTAAGTCTATATTATTCATTCTACAATAGCAAAATAAATATAGTTCATAATCTTTATTCGGTAATCGAAATATCGAGGATTGTTGCGATTCTCTGGGAACCAAAAAGAATCAAAATGTATTACTGCAATAATAGTTTCCTTGTAGTCTCTCTTAGCCTTTATCTATTATGTAACTCATCTTATCCTGTTGATTATTTCAGATCCCCAAAAACATCACCCACGAATTGACTTCCCTACTCACTACCTGAGTTTCGGCGAGACATTAAGAGCTAACTGCACCACCGCGCCTGCGCTCCCTGCTCCACACATCACATGGTTTATTAATGGCAAAAAGGTGAGTATTCAAAAATTATCTAATTAATGCTTTTACACTATACATTTAGGATATAGCTATGCACACGACTTCGTGCGCCACGTATTCGGAATAAATATATGCTTTGTTTGTGAAATGACTGCAATTTAATCATTAAATGTTACGGTTATTAAATAAGTCAATCTCAGACTAGCCTACATAAATGTTCTGTTTTAATATAATTCTAAAACCGATTTAAAACAATCGGTTTTATAGGAAAAACGAGTACACATTTTCTGGAAAAAAAAATTATGTACAGACATAACTCATTTACAATTGTGTTATACTTATAAACTCTAAACACTTGAGTATAATTTTCAGATGGATGAACTTATTACGCATTCCCACAAATTCCGCATACCCATGAGTGAAAGAAGCGGAAGGCGAGGTTTGCAAAGGCCTTTCGAACATGAAACAGTATTAAGTAGTCCACCATCGTTGCTTACTCTAACTCATGCTTCTCATGTGGCAACTAAACCCCCGGGTTGTAACCTTAAGGAACATCAGGTAAAACATTTTCATTCAATTATTTTTGTATGCAACAATTAATAATTTAAATAAAAATATGACTATGTGCCTACCTAAAAATAACCTTAACATTTTGATAAAGCAAATATAATAATAATAATAAACAACCATAAACAATCAACACAGCGCCATCTAATCCCACGGTAAAGAGAGCTTGTGTTAAGGGTACTAAACAACTGATATAAATAATTAGATATTTTTTTGTACATACATACATAATATAAATAGAAACACCCAGACCGATACAAAGAAATATACTAATGAATACAAATGTTTGCACCGTGCGAAGAATCGAACCTACGACTAACGGAAGTAAAGGTTTATAACCGCTAGAAAACCGAGAGCGATAATATATATATTCGAATATCCACACTTTCCAGATTGCCGAATTAAAAGGCCATGATGGTCTCCACATCATACATTCCACAAGCCGGCACCGAAGCCGTAGACCCAGTAGGGGTCGAGATTTGTATGTCACCGTATCTGAGCTTCATGTCATCGCCACTGGCAGACTGGAGATCACATGCGTCAGCACTATACCAGAATTCAGGAGTATAGAGGATAAGTTCGCTGATCACAGAAATGATACTGTTATTGGTAAGAGAATAATTATGCAATGGCTCTAATTATCCCACTAGAGTAGCATTATAGGTATATTTAATAGTAGTAGGTATATTTACTCATTTTCCCGAACATTTTTTACTAGTTATTATAGTAGTTCATACTATATATGCACAAGGAACAAAAAAATATATATTTTTTATGCTTATGTCAGATGGGGTAGTCAGCGCATTGTCTTGTAAGTCGCAGTACTTGAATCCAATGTGGTAGGATGGGTAGACTTGGACAATTTTTTCAGAGTCAGTCAAAAATGTAAATTAACACAAAATTGTTTTTACTGGTGTTGGCCAATTTGAACGCACAACCTCTTGGCTGTGATTCAGGAAATTTACCCACTAGACCAAGATGCTGTCTAAAAAGTAAACAGTTAATGAATATAATTTAATAGAAGTTACTTACTAGTCCAAATGCAATCAATCTTCTAGTTTATTTCTAACTACCGTCTTACATTGTGTACCTTGGTGCGCCATTTAAAAGTATTTTGAATAACTTTAATAGTGTGGTGCCTAACCTACATTAGGTGCCAGCTATATATTTCAAGAGTGCCACAAAATTGTGTCCCATTTCCATTGGTGCGTTAACGGAAAATAATGGGTAGCCAATGCCATTAAATTCTAATTTAGAACTAACTCCATCAATACTTACGCGTACGTTGACTTACTGACATGAACGTTCCTTTTTATCAGCATCTAAAGAGACGTATGAAAGCATGTAGGTATTGCGCACTTTTATAAATTGGAAAGTATTTTAAGATATTGCCTTAAACGTTTATTCAACCATACACAAATATACAGCATGACTTTATCCTGGAAAAACTTTAAAAATGTTTCCATACATTGGCCACCACCATAGGTATTTATAACGCCCATAATATCGAACAAAATCGTGTCATTTGAACGAAAATTTTAATTGCGAGGGTCTATTATATGGAATTATTTCATATTCCATTTATTGCTGTAGTTCTTTGAATATGCTTATATTAGTTAAAAATCTTAACAGCTTACAAAAATTTTGTTTAATAAAGAAAGAAACAAATTAGTCTTTGTATAAACTGTGCTATGTTACATATTATATATGGTTGTATATATATCTAATACTAATGACAAATTGTATAGGCTGTACCGAGCTAACGATAGCATTAACACAAACAATAATTCTAAACTAGGCAAATTACCTGAAAAGGTAGAAACATATATTCAGATTTCGAATATATCTCGATTTGTTTTTTAGTAAAAGTGGTTGAGTTTCATTATATACTCTACGTGATTTTTTGCTTGCTATAAGCTTTACAACTAACCCTGTGTAAATGAACGCGTTTTATATCTAAAGGGTGCGAGAGTGAGTAAAGTTTGAAAATAATGTGACACTATCTGCTCAAAGTCGTGGAACTCGCGGCTGGCGCAGACCGTGATATAACGGATAAAACCCTCTTCCAATAACCGAGATGCGAGTATTACCGGCGCTCGAATTTATGTATTTTATGGCATTTAACTCGCAGGAGATAAATTTATCTATACTTCTGATACTCAAATACTATTACAGTATACAAATTGCAAAATGTTATAAAAGATTTTGGATAAAATATTATAAATCTTTAGTGAGAAAGAAATCCAAATTAGTATACATATATATATATATATTTCAATCGAAAAGATAAACTTCAAGTACGGTTTGGACGTGCACTTTACATTAATATGACAGCTTAGTCGTATGTTTACTTAAGTAGATGCGAGTCAAGTTAACTTAATAGGATAGTTTAAATCTCAGATTTTTCTTTTATCTCATATTTTCTTTAAAAATCATAGGTTCATTGTTTGGCAGTAAGTGAAAATATACACGTTAAATAAGGCGTGTATAGAAATAGAAGTAACCACTTTATAGGTCTTAGGTAATGAAAATAATCTAAGAACTCTTGACACGAGTGAGTGCTATACCTATTCACATAGGAGTGAGCGTTGTCCGCACATGAAGTTATTACTTCTATACTGTTCAAAGATTAGTCTCATTAACTAAACCAGTTTTTTTTTCTAACTGTGGCCTATGAGGGACGTGGTCTTAAAACGGCTGACGTAAATCGTAATTAAATTCCAGGGCAATACTTGCTAGCATAAACTTTTCAAATGACGAGTCGCCAATTTAAAATGATTGAAAAACCATTAAATAAACTCTATATTCAATAGAATTTAATTTTCATATTTCGACTGTTTACTCTACGATTATTATATTGTTTTTACGTTTCAGTGGACGTCATCAGGCCATCAACGTATTCTCAACCATCGGCCAATCTCACAGAATCAGAATCTAGCGCTTCTAATTGTAATAAGTTGTTAATTCCAAACATATCATTATTATTAATTAATATTTTTAGTATAGTAAATATTGCTTGATATAATGTTAATATAGTAGTAATTTTTGGGCTGTGATAATAATATACGTTCACACTATGTTCGTATTTTAATATACGCTTTCAAACAGTAACAGAATTTATGGGTTCCTATTATATTTGGAATCGATTAACAGTTGTAATCATGACCATCAACGGCTCTACTACATTAGAGACTATACCGAATGACCTATTTTACTGTGCAGAAAAATATAGCATTTTGTGTTTCTTCATTTCGACGGCTATATTTAAATTGTTATTCTTTAATACCTACTATAAATAGAAATAGATATAATTTGTATTCAATTAAACTTAATGTACGAATTTTGGAATATAAATATTGTTTTTTATTATGAACGCAGACTCAATGAAGAATGAACTAGTAAACTTGCATGTGTAAATACCGTATATTTCCCAACTTTCTGCATACGGCAAAAAAGGTCATTTGGTATATTTGTATTAAAATTTAATATTTTTGCATATGTGTTTTATCAAACTGTATTTCCAAACAAAAAAGAAAATTCTCAATTATATTTGTATCGAATAGAATAGCTACATCTATAAAAACGTAACTGTTATATTCATAAATATATAAGCGAGTAGCCCTTCTTATTAAATATGATTTTTTGTTTAATTGTGTAGTACCTACCTATCTATCCATAGTACAAACTACTTGTAGGAGTACTTTGGAAGTAAAGCTGGCTGTGTGATATTGCTGAGGTCATACTATTATTTATTTACTTTTTAAATGATCTGATTATAAGTAGTCCATACATAAATTTACACCAAAATGCTTACGATTGTTTTGTAACAAGATTTTTGGTAATTATGTACCTATAACTTACTTTCATTAGGGTGACGGCACCAATTATGGACATTTTAAGCAGACGATTTCTTGTTTCTTTGAATAACATCAGATTTTTTGAGTGAACATGGATGACAGTTAGTAGGCAAATATATTAATAAACAAAGAATACAGTAAACTTACTACTGTTTACTACAAACCGATACATTTTGCAAAAAAAATAGAAAAAATAGGAGATCGCTAAACCCCAGTGATATACATCTGAAATCTAGTAATGGACACCCAATTATGGACTATCCCTGAACTATGTATCCCCAATTAAGAACATCCATTTATGGACACAGAATATGTATTATCAATAGTATTGACAGGAAATTAAATAAAAGTTTGTTAAAAGGAAGATGGATTAAATAAAAACATTGTTACTTTCAGTCTTTAATCATTCGACTTTTCAAAGTAGGCTTTTCAGTCTTTAGCAACTTACCCATAAAATATTACGTACTCTTCATACTAATAAACATAAACAATTTAATATAAAACAATTCCACTTCAAGTTTAACTTTCATTTATAAGATATCTTAACTCTTTGCTCTTAAAACTAATAAACAATTTAATATAAAACAATTCCACTTCAAGTTTAACTTTCATTTATAAGATATCTTAACTCTTTGCTCTTAAAACTAATAAACAATTTAATATAAAACAATTCCACTTCAAGTTTAACTTTCATTTATAAGATATCTTAACTCTTTGCTCTCAAAACTAATAAACAATTTAATATGAAACAATTCCACTTCAAGTTTAACTTTCATTTATAACTCTTTGCTCTTAAAACTAATAAACAATTTAATATAAAACAATTCCACTTCAAATTTAACTTTCATTTATAAGATATCTTAACTCTTTGCTCTTAAAACTAATAAACAATTTAATATAAAACAATTCCACTTCAAGTTTAACTTTCATTTATAAGATATCTTAACTCTTTGCTCTTAAAACTAATAAACAATTTAATATAAAACAATTCCACTTCAAGTTTAACTTTCATTTATAAGATATCTTAACTCTTTGCTCTTAAAACTAATAAACAATTTAATTTAAAGCAATTCTACATCAAGTTTAACTTTATAAGAGATCTTTCTTTAACTTTCATTTATAAAATTCTATAAGAGATCATTAATCTTAAGACTAATAAACAATTTAATCTAAAACAATAAAATTTAACTTTGTTTATATGAGATCCTATTATTTGAAAATTGGCTTAGTTACTATGTAAGGAACTTAATTTTGAGATCTTCTGCGAGTCTTAATCCAAGGTCTAAATATTATAGATACAAATCGGGTAAATATTTCCCCATTTCCTTAATTTTGAAAAATCCTCTCTTATTTAAAGGCAAAGGGTCACTAATAGATTCCACAATAGAAGTCATATTGTACCATATTTTATCCGGTTTATCCGGCCACCGAAAAGAATTTCCCATTGACAATATCATGGTGCTAATTTCATATTGATTTGCATCAATAGCTTCTATTTTACCAGGGAAGTATTCTTCTTCGTATTTTACTATAACGAACTGTCCAGTTTTAAAGACAGGCTTAGATGATACTTTTAGGTGACTAATAGGTTTATTGTCGGATTCTGTATCACTTTCAATAGAACTCGGCATGGAACCTATACGGATTTCTTTTGTTATTCTTCCTCTTTGTGTCGATCTACAGCTTTTGCGTCGTCTAAACTGGTTAAGTATAGCTCTTTCTTCATTTTCTTCTGCACTATCATTATCTTGTAGTTCATTGTAACTATTGTCACTTTCAGCATAGGGTATTTCTAAATCTGTATCATCTGAAGTAACATCTTCTACCTTATGTTTTTTCTTATTGTTTACGTTACTTTTTTCTTTTAACATTTTTTCCTTCAAAATCTTCTTTGCTTGCCTTTCCTTAGCTCTTTTTTCTTTTTCTTCTGATTGTTTCTGTTTTTCTGCACTTTTTTCTAAGTGATAAGCTTGCCAAGCATTGCTTGTCACAGCATAAGGCACCTTCTCTCTTTTTCGTTTTTTCTTTTCCTTTAAGTCTTCTTCAGGCCAAAAAAGATTATTTTTAAATGGTGATGGAATAATTACACCTAATTCAGTCTCTAACGGGTGCTTTTGTGGCGTTGATGTTATACGGTCTTCAGTGGTATTTTCATTTATGGAACTAGGGGCTATAAAATTTCCAGTGCCTGATGTCGAAGGCTGCACTTCATTGGAAGCTACAGCAACATCTGTCTGAGATGTCGGCGTCACTTGGATTACGCTCTGACTATATGGCATAATTTTGTCTAATACAGATTCCAAAGGTTGCTCTTGTGGCATTGAACGGTTGTTAGTGGACTTTTCATTTAAGTGGCTAGAAGCTATAACATTGTCAGTACCCGATGTCGAAGGCTGCATTTTATTTGAAGCTACAGCTAAATCTGTCTGAGATGTCGGATCTAGTTGGATAACGCTCTGGCTCAAATGTTTATTTTTGGCCCAAATCACGTACAATGACTCATCTTCTGGGTGTAAAAACTCTTGTAAAGTGTCTCTATCCTTGTAATACATTTTATTGAAAAGTTCTAACTTTTGGGGTGAAAAAAGCTGAATTATTTCTTTATCTAAATATTTCATAAACTCACTTTGTTTTGGGTCATGCTCTTTTTGAGTTAAATTTTTGTTTTTTATTTTGCTCATATCAATATAATCCGGTCCAAATGGGTACAAACCTCCAGCTCTGAACCCGCTTTGGATACAGTCTTTTGAAATTGTAGCTAATGAATTTCGTAATACTTGGGCGAAATTTTCCTTTTTTAATATTTGTCCAAGGTGATCTAGCTGCCATCTTGAAACTTCTTTTCGCCAAGCTACCTTTAAGGGACGAAACACTGCCAAGTCCATAGGTTGCAGAATGTGCGTCGAATTCGGGTATAATGCTATTATCTCTATGCCATGTTCTGAACAATAATTTGACAAATGCAACGTTAGGTGTGATTTATGTCCATCTAAGAAAAATAGAACAGGCTTTTTTATGTTTTCCTGTTGTAGCCAAGGATCGAAAATATTTGTGATAAATTCATAAAAGGTGCTTCCGCACATCCACCCCGATTCTGATTTTCCTATTCCCCAATCACCGGGAACGCTCGCTGATATGTGCGCCGGTACTCTTTCATATTTGAAAACAATCATAGGGGGAGCAAGTTGTCCTGCAGCATTAGCTGTTACAAGAACAGTAAGGTTCTCTTTTTCGTCTCCACTAAAGTTATAAAGGTGTTTTTCACCCCGTTTGCAAAGCACTCGGCCTGCTTTTGGTGACAAAAAGAAAGCACTTTCATCAGTATTAAAAACTCGGCTTGGATCTTTCAAAATGTTTTTGAGGCCTCTTTGTTCTAAATATGAGTCGATTTCAGAAAACCATTTTCGCAAAGCTTCTTCACACACATCGTCTCTCGATTTGGAAAGATTTTGCGCGGTTTTCTCGACGACATCTGGGTGCCTCTTTAAAAAAGATTGAAACCATTATTTCCCTGGCTTATTATTAGTAAAAGGACTAGGTCTCCCTTGCTCGACAATTATTTTTTGTACGCTTTCCATTAATAATTCACGATTTACTGGAAAATGTTTTTCGCTCATTGTTACTAACCATTTCACTAAAATGTCTTCTTCGGCTTTTGAAAGAACTGTTTGTGGCCCCATTGCACACTCCAAAGGACTTTTGCCCGATATTTTATTATATAGTGTAATACGCGGAACACCCCACCTCTTTGCTGCCGTAGCAATCTTCTCTCCCTGTCTGACTGCTTCAACAGCTTGCCCCATCTGCTCAGGGGTGTAATCTTTTTTTGGCGCCATCTACGAAATCCAGTGGTACCAATTATAGACACAAAAAATTATCCAATCTTGGACACATGTTCATTACTGGTAGAAGTTGTCCAAAATTAAAATCACGACTAAATAAGTAATTGTTATGACATAAAGAATTATTTTAAGCGACATTCTCACAAAATACTCTAAAAGTTAACTTTCGACACATGTCCATTACTAGAGGTTTCGATAATCTAGAAACCAGTAATGAACATCTCGTAAAAAATATTAAAATATTGAATCTACCGGTTTACGTTAATTTTAATTTTCTTTTAAAATCCTTTAACTTTAAGTAAAATAACATGATTGTACAGGAAACAACAAAGACATTGAAGTAATTTTCAAAAAACAATACTCACTCTCTTAACGATTTTCACAATAAAAACAGATTTTTGTTTGCGACAACCAACACGACAAATTTAACGGTCAGCCATTTTGAAGCAAAATGGCCGTTTTCGATGACATTTGACATTATGACAGCTAAAAGGTGGACGTTTGAGTTAAGGTGTTGCTGGAGCAAAAATAAGTGTGTTCTA